GGGGTGGGGGGGCCGCGGGAGCCCCAGCTGCTGTCCCAGTGCGACGTGGTGGTGGACGTGGGGGGCGAGTACGACCCTCGGAAACACCGATACGACCATGGACGCGGGAGCCCCAGCTGCTGTCCCAGTGCGACGTGGTGGTGGACGTGGGGGGCGAGTACGACCCTCGGAAACACCGATACGACCATCACCAGAGGTGAGGACACCGACAGCGTCTGCCCAGCCCCCCCGCGGGGGCTCAAAGCGCCTGACAGGGCCGGATCATCACAGAGATGGGGAAACTGAGGCACGGAGCGGGGGAGGGGGAAATCAGAGTGGACGAGCCAATTGGCGCTGGGTTGGGCCTCAGGACACCTGGGGTCCGCGCTCTCGGCCTCTCTTCCCCTGCCCTGTCCCTTCTGGCCAGGGACCGTGCGCAGCACCTCTCGGGACACAGCCCGAGGGCCCCACCCGGCAAATCCGCTGTGTAGAGCCCAGGCAGCCGACACGCCGGCGTGGGCGGTTCTCTGGCTCCTGGGGCCGGGGCCTGGGCCTGGCTCTGTGGCCGGGTGAGTGTGGCTACTTCGCTATAGCCACAGTCTGGCTGGACACCACGGCCCTAAGGGCGTCTGCACTGCACTGGACACCTCTAAGGGCCCGAACCCCCTGCGTCCACACACTGATCCGCCTGCTCGGGTTCTGGGCCCCAGCCAGGCCCAGAGGAAATCCCGGTTTGCCTCTGGGGAAATCGCAGTGAACGAGGATCTCGAAGCACGACTTGATCCTGGCCAGCCTCCTCTGGTGGATGTCGGGGGGGGCATCCTCAGCCCTGTCCGTAGCTGGGGAAACCGAGGCACAGAGGGCTCCCTGTAAACTGTAAACTTGAAGTCCCAGTTCAAGTCCGACTGAAATGGGATCCAAGCCCTGTGGTTTTGCAGTGTGGGCACCGAGTCCGCAGGGCTGCGCAGGGCCCGGGGAGCACGGCTCGGAGACCGGGGTCCAGCGCCTGAGCCCAGCGCTGGGGGGATCGGAAGCGCAGCTCAGACGCACCGAGAGCGCAGATCTGGCTTTGCCGTGCAGTGTGGACCCCCCCCGGCTCAGGCACCGGGTGTCAGGAGGGGGGGCTGCACTGGCTAGCTCCTCCCTGCCTTTTGCAGGTCCTTTGCCCAGTCCATGCACTGCCTGAGGCCCGACAAGCCCTGGACCACCAAGCTGAGCAGCGCGGGGCTGGTGTATCTCCATTTTGGCTCCCAGATCCTGGCTGGCCTGTTGGAGCTGCAGGAGGACGACCCGGTGGTGCAGGTGCTGTATGACAAGGTAGGGAGGCAGGATGGGGCGGCACCACGCGCCAGGGCGGCAAAGGCCGGTTTGCCTCTGGGGAAATCGCAGTGAACGAGGATCTCGAAGCAGGACTGGCCAGCCTCCTCTGGGGAGGGGGGGCATCCTCAGCCCTGTCCGTAGCTGGGGAAACCGAGACACAGAGGGCTCCCTGTAAACTGGGTGCTTGGGTGGCCGCCCAGGAGAGAGTCTGGTGCCACCCAGCTGATTGGCAGAGCACCCACGGCTGGCAGCCTGTGTTTCTACCGGTGGTGCACACCCGCACCTGCCTCAGTGCATGGAATAAAATTCATTCTGCACACGAATGGAAAAAATTCGAGGGCCCACTGCCTGGCAGGGGTGCTTGTGGGCTGGATGTGCCGGCTGTGCCTCTGCCAAGGCACAGGGTGTGCCTGTGTCGCTGGGACCCCCAGGAGGGGAACGTGGTTTAACTATGGCGCATGCCCAGAGTTGTGGTTCTGCCGGGCGCATTTCCCCTCTGGACCTTTGCCCCAGGCTCCAGCCGTGGGAACAGTGCTGAGGCCAGCTGCAAAAAGACTCCTGGTGGCAGGCGATTTTCCCAGCAGCCCTTGCGGCTCCTTCCACCAGCATCGGGGGGGGGGGGCGCGCTGGGGCCTT